AATTAGTAGTCCTGCCTGTATTGAGATGCTGTAGGTTTCCATGGGTATGGTGATACTAAGGAATGTCCCAAGAGATTACCTGTATTCCAGACATACTCTTCCTTATCTTCATTGTGGAACAGTATTTCAGTTTCCTTGTGGTTGTCAGGATCAATCATTCTAACCTGCATAATTCTTCCCTTCACTGCCTGTTGATTATTTTGAGGCATCCACAGTGGCCAGGTGGCAATCTTTACTTTCAGTTCAATAGAATTATTGCTGTGTCTCCTAACAGAGCTATTTCTCCCTCAGGAACAAAGACCTCTAGGTCAGCAGAGAATAAGATCATGGCAACAGGAAGCAAAATTGTTGCTTGTGGCTTACTAGGAATAATAGCAAGTGGTGCCACTTTCGTTTCTACCCTTTGGCTCCTAGATATGTGAGTCCTGTCTATTGGAGAAACAGAACTGTATATTGGATTCTGATTCTAAACATACACAGTCTTCTAAAGAACCTTGCCCAGCCCTGAAATGTATTGTTACCTAACAAGACCTGTAATTAAACCTTAAAAGGCCATTTCATTCCTCTACCAAACCAACTGCTTCAGAAGTTAAGCCACATGGTAAGACCATAAATTCCATGAGCTTGGGCCTATTGTTGCACTTCTTTTGTGGTAAAGCGAGTTCACTGATCAGAAGTAATGCCACGTGGAATACCATGATGGTGGACAAGGCATTCTTTAAGACCACAAATGGTAGTTTTGGGTAAAGTAGTTTTGTGCTGGTAAGGCAAATCCATATTCAGAGTGGGTCTTTACTCAGTAAGAACAAAATGATGCCCTTTCCACGATGAAAACTGTCCAGTGTAATCAACTTGCCAACAAGTAACTGACTGATCGCTTCAGGGAATGGTGCCACACTAGGGTGAGCATTGGTCACTGCTGGCAGATTAGGCACTCAGCAGTAATCATAACCAGGCCAGCCTTAGTGAGTGGAAATCTGTGTTGCAAGCCCATGTATAACTTCTATCTTTGCCGCTATTGCAACTTTTGTTTGAGAGCCCACTAGAAAATCACAGGGGTAGTTAGGGAAAGAGGTTGGCTGGTATTCATAGAAGAGGTTATCATAGTCTCTTGATTATCAGAATTCTCCTATGCTGAAGTCTCTCTTTGGTGAACATTCACGGACAAAAATATCTTCATGTTTTTTGCCATCTGCATATCTTCTTTGATGAGGTGCCTGCTAAGTTGCTTCAGTTGTGTCTGACTCTGCAACCCCATGGACTATACCCTGCCAGCCTCCTCTGACTATGGGATTCTCCAGGCAAGAACACTGGAGTGGGTTGCCATTTTCTCCTCCATTTGATGAGGTATCTATTTATATCTCGTGATCACTTTTTATTGGATTGTTTTCCTATTGTTGAAATGTTAGGCTTTCTTATGTATTTTGGATAAAGTTTCTTTAACATATAAGCTTTTGGAGATATCTTCTCCCAGTGGGAGGCTTGCTTGTGTTCCCTTAATAGTATTTTTCACATAGGAGTTGCTTTTAATTTTACCTCAACTCACCCATTTTTTTTTTCTCTTGTGGATCATGCTTTTGGTGTTATGTCTAAAAACTCATTGCAAAACCCAAAGTCACATAGATTTTTCTCCCATAAAGTTTTAATTTTGTTTTTTCACATTTAAGTCTATATCCATTTTTGTGCACATGAATTTTCAACTGTTCTAGCATTTGTTGAAAAGTTATATTTTTCTGCATCCATGAAATAGCTTGCTGAGATTTTTGTAGTTATTGTGTTGAATCTATATGTTGTTTGCAATAATTCACATTTTACAAATATTGGAGTCCTTTAGTTCATAAATGTGGAATATCTTCCTATGTGTTTAGATCTTCATTGGCTTCTTTCATCAGAGTTTTATAGTTTTTCTTGTATATATTCTGTACATATTTGCTAGATTAACTCCTAATATTTTACTTTTGGTGACTATCAGAAATGGTAATTGAAAAATTCCAAATTCCAATTTTTCCTTGCCAGTAGAAATAAGTTAAGAAATTTAGAAATAATTAAGAAATAAGTTAATATATAAAACCATAGAATTTTATATATTAACTTTGTATTCCATGAACTTTCCATACTCATTTATTAGTTCTAAGAATTTTTTGTTTGTTTCTTGATAAGTATTTGGTATATTTTACATAGACTGTAATGCTATCTCTAAATAAAATATTTTTCTTCCCAATTTGTATGGTTTTTATTTCCTTTTCTAGTCTAACTACACTAATCGGGCCTTCCAGTATAATGTTGACAGGAGCACTAAGAGAGGATATCCTTGACTTGTCCTCAATCTTAGAGGAAAGCATTTGGTTTCTTACCATTAAGTGGGATGTTAATTATAGATATTTACAAATGTTCTTTATCAAGTTGAGGAAGTTACCACCATTCCTAGTTTTCTGAGGTTTTTATGAATATCAGGCATTGGATTTTGTTGATTTTTTTTCTAAATCAATTGTTGTGTTCATGATTTTTCTTTTTCAGTTGGTTAATGTGGTAGATTACATGGATTGATTTTCAAATGTTTAACTAGACTTTCATACCTGGAATGAATCCCATTTTCTGGTAGTATATAATTACTTTTATACATTGTTGGAATTATTTCCTAATGCTTTCTTGAACACTTTTGCATCTATTTTCATGAGAAATAAAGGTCTTTAGTTAGGCTTTTTTACAATGTCTTTATCTATGTTTAGTATTAAGGTAATACTGATCTCAAGTGTTCACAGGAAATTAAAAAGTGTACCTCTCACTTCTGTTTTCTGGAAAAGAGAGCTGACAACTATTTTAATTTCTTTCATAAAGTTTCAGCAGAATTAATTCAGTGAATTATTCTGGGCTTTGCATTTCTTTTTGTGTGTGTACGGATGTGTGTACACATTTTATTTGTAGGTCTTTAAATTTCTTGGATCTGTGGTCTTATATCTGTTAATCATTCGTTATCTCACTTGTTTCTCTCTTTGTTCCACTTCCAGTATTCCCATTAGGCTTATGTTTCATTGTTTTCACTTGTCTCACATTTGTTGTTGTTGTTGTTGCTATTAAGAAGTTTATTTGGATCTGAGATACTGTTTATATATTAGTCAATTAATTTTAATATTCGATGTTCCTTTTCCCATCAAACCTTGGAAGGTTTCTTGGTTTTCTTGAAAGAAACTGCATGAGAAGTCATGCTGAAGGTCTTCTCCTTGTCTTTCATATTCCACAATTTGAATGTGATATAACTAGGAGTATGTGTGTGTTTGTGTGTGTGTGTTGTGTAGCCTTTATTATATTGATATATCATTTCTGTGCCCACTTTCTGGAGAGTTTTTACCATAAGTTGGTGTTGAATTTTGTTAAAAGCTTTTCTGCTCTGATCAAGAATAGCATATGGTTTTTATTCTTCAATTTATTGATGTGGTGTATAACACTAATTGATTTGTGGATATTGAAAAATTTTTGCATCCCTGGTATAAATCCCGCTTGATCATGGTGTATGATCTTTCTAATGTATTGGTTTTGGACTGCTAATATATTATCCATCTGGTCTAATGTGTCATTTAATGCGTGTACTTCCTTACTGATTTTCTATCTAGATAATATATCCACTGATGAAAGTGGGGTTTTAAAGTACTCCACTATTACTATGTTACTGCTGATTTCCCCCTTTATGGTTGTTAGCATTTGCCTTATGTATTGAGGTGCTCCAATGTTGGGTGCATAAATATTTACAATTGTTATATCTTCTTCTTGGATTGACCCCTTGATCATTACATACTGTCCTTCCTCGTCCTTGTCCTTCTCTTGTAATAACCTTTATTTTAAAGTTTACTTTGTCTGATATGAGTATTGCTACTCCAGCTTTCTTTTGATTTCCACTTGAATGGAACACCTTTTTCTACCCCCTCACCCAGTTCTCCTACATTCTTGAATATTCTGTTGCCCCCCTCCCCCATTCTTGTTTTTCTTATCATTTCAGTTTGGGAAGTTTTTATGGAAATATTTTCAAACTCACTGATTCTTTCCTGGGACAAATTCCATCTACTAATAAGTCTAATCAAAGGCATTTTTCATTTTTATTACAGTGTTTTAGACTTCAAACATTTCTTTTTGATCTTTTCTTTGAGTTTCCATCTCTCTTATTACATTATTTATCAGTTCTTGCATGTTGTCCACTTTTTCTATTAGAGTCCTTAAAATATTAATCATAATTACTTTATCTTTCCTTTTGGGCAATTCCAACATCTGTGTCATAACTGATTCTGATGTTTTTTTCTCTTTTGACTCTGTTTTTTCTTTTCCTTTCATTATGTGGTTTTTGAAGCTGACCATGATGTCATAGGAACATAGGTGTGTTGTGAGGCTTTATGTTAACAGAGCTAGGGTTAATTTAACCATGTCTAATATTTGTTGTTGTGGGGCTTCCTTGGTGGTTCAGGTGGTAAAAAGTCTGCCTGCAATGCAGGAGGCCTGGGTTTAATCCCTGCATTGGGAAGATCCCCTAGAGAAGGGAATGGCAACTCACACCAGGATTCTTGCCTGAAGAATCCCATGAACAGAGGAACTTGACAGGCTATAATCCAAGGGGTCACAAAGAGATGGCATGACTGAGTGACCAGTTGTAGGTGCCAGGGGCTTCTCAAGTTCCTCAAGCGACTTTGTTTTGTCCCCTCTGTTGAATGTATGCTTACTCTTTATAGGAGTATGTAGTCCATTGTTATTTTACTAGATCCCTATTAATGCGGTGGTAAAATTTGTGGAAAGGGAAGCATACTCTAATTCTAAAGTGTTCTAAAAGCACTCATGATTAAAACTCAGTTGTTCAGTGGGCCTGTGCCACTAGGCTGCGACAATGACAAATGTCTCTTACCTTATCCCCTAGTCCCAGCTTAGGGGAGATAGGTAGGATAGAGCTGACTAGATTGAAGAAATGCCTTTCCTGAACATGGGACAAAGCTCTGGTAAAACTTTTTCCCTTGAAATGTTGGTCATTGTTATAAACAACACTTTATAATTATTGAACAATATTTATTTCTCCCCAAACCATCTTCATTGCCAAAGGCAGGAGGTTATCTGTCTTGGGTCTCAAACATGTGCTCCTTACAATGTTGTTCATGAAAGTTCTTGAAAGCATGAGGGCCCACAATTACTGAAGCTCTAGTAGTTTCTCTCTTTCATTATTATATATACTCAGCCTTCAGCAAGTCATCAAAATGACCATTGAAGTGTTGCTACCAACTTATGGTTCTATTAAATTCTGCTCCAAATAAGCAATTTTTGGCTATAAGCTCTGGATTCAGCTGTCTCTCCATTTTTCCTGGTGGTGGTTTTCCCTGGTTGGGTCCAAGAAAAGTTATTGAATTTCAATTTGTTCAACTTTTTCTTATTGTAAGAACAGGCAAGATAATTCCTAGCTCTTTACATAGCATGTGTGTGTGCTTCATGGTTCAGGCATGTCCAACTCTTGCGACCCCATAGATTGAAGCCTGCCAGGTCCATGGGATTTTCCAGGCAAGAATATTTGAGTGGGTTGCCATTTTCTTCTTCATTACATGGTATGATTGTATTCAATTAACTTTTGAATTT